GTCAAAAAACCTGTGTTTTTAGGGTTATTAACAAGTTCGTGTACTCAGACCAGTAATATTTGGGGTCACAAGTTTTTGCAATGCATATTTTCTGGGTCAGAAGATAAAAAGTTTGGGAACCACTGGACTAACTGAAACCCAAAGTATATGTCCATGTGAACAGTTGGCTCCGCCCCTTTAAACGAAGGTCTTTGCAGGTTCTGAATGTCTCATCTGATGTAGTCTTGTATCTAATCTGTGCCGATGATCTGACAGGACAGATTATATAAACACTTTTCAATCTATCGTGTATGAACAAGGCAGCACCGGAGAGTTTTCATATATCTACATGTTTAATGAAACAAAGTCCATACTCTGTTACATTTCAGGTTTTACAGAAAATGTGCAGCTCTCCAGCTTTTGGGGGACATCCCTAGAATTAGAGAGGCTCCTGTTTGTTTCCAGCTGAGTCTGACCGCAGTGCATAACGTGTTAATATCTTTAGCGTGTTGCTTTAGGGTATTTCTATCCCGTCTTTAAATAGACTTGATAGGATTAGACCTCTTGTGTAAAGAGGCTACCTTCTGGCAAGGACATTCAAGTTACTCTCATTACAATTAACTTATTTCTATGAATATCTCCTGTGGTATTTTGAGGAGTTGTCTGTTTATTTTTTATTTTTAGAAAGGGATAAAATGTTGGTGTTTTGAAGCAACCGTTGTAGAGCTAGAACATAAGCTCTGAGTGGAAGTCTGGCTCTTTGAGGTAAACGAGCTCAGGTGTTTTGCGGCGAGCGCAGACGGGACACGTTTTCCTCCAGGTCACTCGGTGTGACTCGTGTCCGGAGGACTTTTGATGTGCAGACCAAGTTTGATTCACAACGAGCCTGAAACGTTGAGCAGCTATGGGAGTTCCTAACTCCAGAGAATGTAATTACTATCAGGCTCCGAACGCACCATTTAAGATCTTGCTGAAATGTAAGTATAGATTTTATCTGAGGTGGGAAACAACGGTTTTTGTCTGCATTGATCTTCTAGTTTTCTGTGTAACATTTAGTCCTGAAGGGGATGTTAGAGTAGTTAGGGTTTAACAGTAATTGTGTCTGTTTTTGTGCTTGCGTTACATAAATTCCTACGTTGTTTTAAAAGGTCTGGCTATTTATTCTCTATTCCATTTTTTTTTAATTTGCTCACTCAAAACCAACTTTTTTCTCATTCTTTGAATACAAAAGATGGATTTAACCATATCAAGCCCTGAATTTAAGGTTTCATTCATCAGTGTTTTTGCTTCTGATTGAGAATCTTCAGAACACACAAGGTGGGGAAACCTATGGTCAGAGGGCCAGAAGCGGTCATTTAAAATTTTTTCCAACCGGCCCATATTTGCAAGAAACTTGCAGATGTTTCATTGTTAGAAAAAGCTCAAAAGTTAAAAATGTTAGTATAGAATGTTATTATGTAAAATGTGCAGGAATTAAAATACAGAAACAAAAATAAAATCAACAAAAACTGAATTTAGTCTAAAGATAGTAAAATTCTTTTTATTAGAAAAATAATTATTTCAAATTTAATTCCAGTTATTTTTTTTATTTTTTAGCATTTCAGACATTACAACCAACAACACACATATAGAAAAGCTGCATTAGATTATGATTTAAATTCAGATTACGGGATTTAAATCGTGTTCTTTTATGGTAGAGGTCAGTGGAGGAACAGTTTCCATCCACCAGGACAGTTTGAACACGAAGGGAGAGAGAGAAAATAGAAAATGTCAACAGAAGTGGTTATTAATAGATTCCATGGACTGCAGTTTGACTTAAAGGTGAGAACACAAAGTCACAACTGATTCCTGTGAACAAGAACAGTCAGGTTCACAAATCTACCTCAGCAGTGAGTCAGATACAGTTTACAGTTTAGATGTCGAGTGTCATCATTTCAGCCTGTTTTGGTGCTATCGTCATATAAAACTACAGAGTTTGTACAAGAACGTGCTCGTTTGACACAAATGTCTTTTTTTCCCTTTAAATAAGCTGTTCCATATTTTATAAATATGTTCCAATTTCATTAAAAAGATCAGCATTTAAACAGATATAAACTGGACTGAAGACTGTTGTGTTCAGATTAATGTATTAAAAACTGTAAAAGGAAAACAGCATATTGTAATAAGGAAAAGTTAGATTTGTTGTATTTAAATTTTTTAGTATATAAATTGCGATATTATTGTGCTTTTCAGTTTTTCCAAAAGTTTTAAAGTACTGAGGTTCAAATAAACACAATTTAATGTTTTGTACCAAAATGTCACTAAAGGCATATTCACTAACTAAGACCAAAATATCAAAAGTGATGTCATACGAGTAAATGTTACATAAGGTTTAAAATGAATTCTCCTCGTTTTGAAATCCCAGGCTTGGATTTTATTTTAAAAAAAAAGAAAAAAAAGGCTTTTAGAAAAATTCCACAGTGATATCTGATTTGGAGTGTATTTGTGATTCCAGGCTGCTGATGGTAAATTTGCGAATTTTTTCTGCTGCTCCTCATTGGCTAAAGAATGCTCCTCTCTTCACTAATGTCCAATGGGATCAGAGGGGTGGGAGGGCAGATAAATCCTGTTATGTGGAACCTGATTACTGCCCATAATCCGTTAGTGTGTCCTCGTGTGTGTTTCCACGCACATGTACAGTCTGTGTTACTAGTCTGCAGTAATCCACAGCTCGGTCTATATATAACAGATTTTCCAGCATCTGTAAATTAAATGGAATTTCATGTTTTTTTWAAATATTTCCCTCATAAATTGCACTTTGAAGTACCTGTGACGTGATATYCTAATCAAAGAAAACATATTTATGTTTAAAAAACTTGACATAATACACACAATTTTACCCRTTTTGTCACATAAATGGCATATTTTCCTTTGAACTTGGTTCAGCCAAAGTGAAACAGGAAGTGACATCACAGGAGAACTCTGGTTTTCGTTTATTGAAACAACCTTATTTGAACTCTGACTTTTCTTCATCTCGCTCTGAAACTGACTCAAAATCATCTAAGGAAACATCAGAATCTTCTTAACGTTGCTTGTAGCAACACACTGTTCACATTCAGACATTACCCCTTTGACATCACTTCCTGTTACTTCACATGTGAATATCTCAACAACTGTTCATCTCAGCGGCATGAAATTTATTTTGCAATATGTTATTAATGTTATCTTTCCAAAAGTGCATTCATTTTTATTATAAAAATTTGATGTCACAGGCACTTTAATTTTACATTTGGAAAACTAACATTCTGCTTGTAATGTCTGTTTAGACGTTCCAACATACAATCAAAGGGAATTTATTAATTTAACGCATTAAATTAAATTAAATCATAATGCATTTTTATGTAATTTACTATATTACTACATAYAGCCACTGGACAGATTTTAACAAAACTCTCAGAAAATACTAATTGGCTGTACATCTCATAACTAATTTTTGGAGAATATTCAGTTCAAGATGGCCGCCACCAAGCCAACACCAAAATGGCTTTAACTCTGTCAGTTTTACAGATGTAAGCTATAATTTGATGTGGAAGTAGCTGAGATATCTCATGATGCAGATAAAATTGTGTATATTTGTGTASTTTTGACCAAAACATCTATAGCGAAATAATATTTCAATCAAATTGTCACGACCCAGTGCGCAACGAGCCTCTGAAGAAGGAGCGGCCRAAGTGGAAGAGCGAATATCCGATGACAGAGGGCCAGCTGAGGAGCAAGAGAGACGAGTTCTGGGACACGGCTCCGGCGTTTGACGGACGGAAGGAGATCTGGGACGCGCTGCGAGCTGCGGCCTTAGCYATGGAGTGCAACGACCTGGAGCTGGCGCAGGCGATAGTGGACGGAGCCTGCATCACTTTACCACAYGGTAAAAAGAAAACCTCACGACGTGGAAACACCATCCAGATTGCAATCYGTAAATGTCCTGGAACTTCCTGTCCGAATGCATCACTCGCATTAATTTGAAAGAGCATTTTGCAGAGCCCGGTTCATGAATTAGTAAGAGATTACTGTTGGAATAATTATGTAATAGCAACAAAGCTGCATGAGCACTGCCAGCAGATATGTGTAGAGAGAGAGAAAAAACAGGTTTTATGTTTGTATGCTTTCATGGAGAAGCGTTTGGTCAAAAGACAGGAGTGTTTTAGATATATATAAAGAAAAACAAGTGTTCATATGAATGTTGTTTTCTCTGCAGGCTCTCTCACAGAGAGCTATGATGAGCTGGGAAATCGCTACCAGCTCCCAGCGTACACTTTAGCGCCGCCGGTCAACCTCATCACCGAAACCTCCAGCGAGAGCAAAGTGTCGGAGTCCTCGCAGAAACAGAGCCAGGCTTCGCCTTGCAGAGAAGAGTTCCAGCTGAGGGTCCGGTTATCAACAGGTAACCAAAATAAACTGTATATTCTGTTTATTACTAAAGAATGATGATAAAAAATAAAAATATTTGGCACAGTGTTCCTGTGTGTGAATAATATCAACAGTCCACTGTCAGATCTGAGAACCACAGTGTTTTTTTTTCTTCTAAAGAGCAACATGCTCCTGATTGGGATGTTTCAGCTTATCTCATATCTAGCTTGTTCAGTAATCCGTATCGACTCTTCATTTCAGGACAGGATGTCCGTCTGACAGCCAGCATGGCGGACTCCATCGCTGAGTTAAAGAAACAGTTGGAGGAGCAGGAGGACATCGGTACGGCCCGTCAGCGATGGTTCTTCTCCGGGAAGCTCCTGACCGACAAGACTCGCCTCCAAGACGCCAAGATCCAAAAAGACTTTGTTGTCCAAGTCATTGTCAACATGAACCCCCCAGTCATAACTAATTAAAGGGCTTGGAAGGGCGGGGGTGTCGAGCGTTTGAAGTGAAGAAAAGATGAAAATACGTGCCAGAGACGGCTGCAGGAACAGGACCTGGTATCAGTTTCCAGCAGGTGCAGCAGTGGAGTTCTGTGTACATTTTCTATAAGATACGATTGCTTTTGTATTGCTCCTTTTTCTATTGTTCCTTTTTTCCAGATAAATTAATCAAATATTAATTAAAAAGCACTGAAACACTTTAGTTTAAATATAAATGCACAACCCAGTGTGTGTTTGTGTCTGAAGACCTCCACAAGAGGCTCTGTTGTTTACATGGATTCCTCTCCTCACGTCTGTATTTGTGTCTGTGGATGAATTAAACACAGGTGGGTCCAAATAAGGAAAATCTACTATTTTTGTTCAGTAGCTATTTATTTTTTTGACAATTACACGGATCACTAACTCTAAATATCAGGTTAAGTGTGTGTTTATGTGACTGTGAACTACACGTCTTCACGTCTTCAGTATAGTTGTTCTGAACATGTTGAATGGAATGAAAAAAGTTTTTTTAATTCATCACTCTAAACAACTGTACAGGCAAACTGTAGTTTTGTGTGCAATTATGATGCTCAGTTTACTTTAATAACGTCAATAAATACTGTAAAATTAAAGCTATCCTTTGTTTTTTAATGCAATCATCTATAACGGTAATATTTTTTGCATTTGTGCTTTATTGAGTCGTACATTTTTCCCCACAGGCTTTTAACTCTGATATGGTTTTCAACAGTTCATTGTCTTTAGAATATACAGAAAGAAAAACTAGAAGCAAACTTAAAATATTATTTCGATATTTAAACTGATTGTAGTTCAGTAAATTCTAATTTTGCTTCAGCAATTATAAATTCACTCAAAACTTGTAAAGTTTGTCAAACAAATAAGATTTTTAATCTAGTACAAATAAAAAAGGGTTTGCTTGGAATTTTTATTTTTTTGTAATTTTTTTTGTAAATTGTCTCAGTTAAAGGTAAGCAACATTATTTTACGCTATGTACAATAATAAATAAAGGTTGTATATAAAACAAAAGTAGAAACGTGTTATATTATATTTGTACTTGAATAAAAACACTTGTSCATACAGCATTTTGATCTCCAAGTCCGTCCGTGTGGCAAACAGCGCCCTCTGTTGGCCAAACTTAGGTACTTACACGAGCACGTGACGTCATATGGTGAGCGACGGAGTCACCTGGTCAGCCAGCTTTTGCTTGCTTGTTTTCAACCCCGAAAATGGTAAAATCGGGGAAGCTCCGGTCTGGGACCGGGTCCAAGCTGAAACGGTGGAAGAAAGGACACAGCAGTGATTCCAACCCGCAGACGAATCGTTTTCGACAAGCTGCGAAAAGCCGCTTCTTCAGCCAACCTGGCGGTGGTAAGATGCACGTGGGTCCCTCTGGCTCTGCTGCTAACGTCAGCTAGCTTCAGCCATTTAAGCTTGTGATACTCAAATTTGCACACATTGTCATGTTTTCAACAATATAGTTTCTTATGAATCAAAGTGTTTTGTGTAATTTGTTAGCTAACTTTCTTGGAAGACATAAGTATGATAATACAGTAAAGTTTGTAAATACTTTAGAACTCGAGTACATGTTTTGGTATATTTCATGTCTTTGAGTATTGTTAATGCTTATATTTACATCTAGCTTAGGTGTGTATTTATGGAGGTAAATTTGTGTTTTTATTATTCAATCAAACAAAAAGCATCTTCAATCAAAAAAATAATTTCAATCAAAAATACTTTTTCAACCAAACAAAAAAATAGTCAACAAAAAATATAAATG